ATTCGAAACCGGATGGAGAAACATCTTGCATATTTCATGACGATCAAGCAAGGGACTGAAGGACCTGAAGGTTGGCTGGCGTCAGCCCGTTTCACATGAATCGTTGACACTTATGTTCGTGCTAAAACTTTTAAAGTCGAGACACCCTGTATTTTAAACAAACATTGGCGGCGCGCGGATAGGTGTCATTTTTAGTTCCTGGTCAAACTGGCTGTGAAAAACTTAATGCAATTTTCTTGAAACTGCTATTATATATATATATATATGCAATATTCCTCTACACAACAACACGGAATTGAATATAGCGAATTATTCGTAAAAGGTGTAATATTTTAGGTCATCGTATTTAGAGATGTGCAAAATCTTTTTTTAAAAGTATTTAAATACAAAATGCAAATACTATTTTGGTTTATCATTTTAAATGTAAACTACAAAATAGATTTCCCTGTGGTATTTTAAATGCTAAACAAAAATGCGTATTTTGAAAGTACTTTTTTGTAGTACCTACCTATTTAGTTTTATACATTTACTTAAGTATAAAATATTTTTTAAGAAAACGTTGCAGGAATTTGCTCATTTTTTGAATATTGGAGTTTTTCCTAGACTAATAGTGGTGTTTGCATTATATCACCAACTACGAAGATTGTGTATGATTCATATTTTTCTGTTTGAAGTGTTTGAGATACAGTTTTTCATTTATGTTATAGTTTCTTCAGTTCAGCAACAAATAATTCTTCTGCATGCTTCCTTACTTACCTTTGTCACCCGTTTAAATTGGAAAAAAGACACTGATGCCAAAATAGTTTGTTTAGCTTGAAAAATCAGAACCAAAATAGGGTTGCAAATAATTTTATTGATGTCAAATTAGCATCAGTCAATTTATATCAAAATATTGACAATCCCATTTTGTTTCTAACCTTTTACACATTGCAATAAGAGAAAGAAATGGAATAAATAGTTTCTTTAGCTTTGAGTTCATCTAATAAGTGAAGTTTTTCGAATCGTTTTCTAGGAATTTTGGATTCTACGCATTTATTAGAATACTACAATATCTTGTAGTTTTGAGTTTTACACAACTGGCGTATATTAATTCGATATTGTTTTGCAAGCTATTTAGTCGTAATTCATAGAATTTCGTAGTTCCTTGCTAAAGGGACGGTAAGTTGTGATTTGGCAGGTGCTGATGTCAATTTGAAACTTCAATATTCCAAGGATCATGACATTAAACCCGGAAAACAATATCTATCAAATATTTTAGATAATCAATTTCCAAGCAGTTTACAATTTTTTGGGTTCTCTTCGGTTGAAGAATTGGAAGGTATTCTTCGTCCCCTTTTTAAGCATCTAATACCTTTAATGGGCATTTTGAGCAACTTTCATTCATCGTTTTATATAATATTTAATCGGTGATACTAGCAAAACTTTTAACTGCAAAAATGTATTTTGCATTTTTCAAACAGAAAATATAAGACAAAAATTGGTATTTTTTATTTTGTATTTGCGTTTTAAACGCAAGTATTTCAAATAAATCACATCTCTGATCGTATTGAATGTAGTTTCGCTAATGTTTAACCCCCGTTCATTGTGGCTGCTTAATTTTCACGTATATAAGTTTTTGTATCATATTTTAGTTTTATGCTTTTCTGTCCATTTAGGTCAGTGCGTTTACATGTGCTTGTCTGAGTGGTAGTCCGCTTTGGCGTCAATGAGACGCAGTTTATGACTTATTTTTATGTCGAATGGCAGTTCGGAGATGACCGTAGCAAAGGCATGTGGTAAATTATTAAGGGGTAACATTTGTAGCTAAATCACTTCGTTCGTGACGCAGCTTTTCTTCTTTCTCTTAAACATGATTCATTATTATATATCTAATAAAAGTACGAAACACCATTCACGTGTCTCATTGTAAATAAAATGTTCAACGTGTTATTCTCTGAGAGCATCCCGAATAGATAATCTTGTACAGGGCCGTCGTGAAGAGGGAAGAAAGATGTCGAAACTTTAAAAAAATTCCACTTACTAGGTAGGTTGACTACGCCGGGATTCGTTTTCAGCAAGTAGATATCCACACAAGTGGACCTTGTTGGAGCATACGTAATCCTAAAATGTAGCATCGTGCTACAGATGGCGTTTACTGCGCCATTTGTAGTATTTTCTAAAACGCACTGTTAAGACAGCAGGTAAAAGTTGGTCTGTGTTCTGTCGGAGCTGCCTGCGACGCGCTGATGAGATCCAAAAAGATCGAAATCGCGATCCGCGTCCGGCAATTTCGACAGAGTACAGACCACTTCGAATTATTTTATTCGATCAAGCTAACGTGCATATCACGTTGAGGTTGACTACGCCGGGATTCGTTTTCAGCAAGTAGATATCCACACAAGTGGACCTTGTTAGAGCATACGTAATCCTAAAATGTAGCATCGTGCTACAGATGGCGTTTACTGCACCATTTGTAGTATTTTCTAAAATTGTTCTTTTTTTGTAAAAGTAGGAGTAGGTATACGTGTGCCTCTGAAATTGTATGTGTCAGCCGCCACTGATTTCTTGTACGCCATTAATGTCGTTAAACAACTGCTCATAAGTATGCATATTTTTATACAAACGGTGTTTATAGTAAAAAAGGGCATCAAAAAAATCAAATGCCAGACACGCAAGCAAGAGGCAAGCAAACAAACATCTTTTTACATGAATTGGCTTTGTATGGCTAAATTAAATATTTACGATGAGTCGGTTACTGAAAATGAGTTTGTGAAAGTGTTTATTTTGCCGCATTCTGGCTTTTATTATTAGGCTCGTCCGTACAATGCTGTTTATTGGCTTAACACTTATTAATTTGATAAGGTAAACACTGTAATAAGCATGTCTAATGGTGGAATCATCAAAACAAACGAATTCTAATTAAACAAATATACAAATGGATTACATTTCAAATATTTTTATTTTAAATTCTCACTTTTTCAACATGTTTCGGTTAAATTCTTTGCTTAAGAATTGTGTTTTAGTAATAATGTCTTCGGTTGCACAAAGTTATTATTGAATCGATTGATATTTCCAATCACAAAATGGATATTTGTTGTTCGATGGCAAGAAATCTCTTTTCCACTGTTATTTTTCCGGTGGTGCATGCATTGTAGATTTGTGCATTCAATCAAAAATATTTCGCTTGGCAGTCGTCTCACAATCATCTGATAGAAATCAAACAACGAGTGTAATTTCTAGTATTTCCGATACCACGCTTGCCTGCTTTTGTGATCAACATATGCATATCCTAGCTGAAGTTACTTTCCCTTCCTAAGAAGACTTTCATTTGACAATTGAAAATACTGCTGGGATCGTATATGCGGAATCTCATGAAAAATAAAATCACTGAACGACAAATCTGACGGTCGACGGTTGAAAGTAAGACCTCTTAACTCTAGGTCACAAGTAAATGTAAGTAAACACAAAAGATAAATATTCGATGAATGAATCACATTGACATTTCGGACGGTAGCTTAGTTATTAGTTGAAAACTTCCCCGTTACCGTTACCATCTGGTTATATCCCGTTTTTAACGAGAAATTTCGACTGTTTGCAATTATTGTACTCTGGCAGTTTGACATCGTCGTAAATACATCGCATAATCTTATTCTATTTTAATTTTTCGAATGTTTTTACCTGAATTACCTTCTTAACACAAACGGTCATACAAGTCATAATGCTATCGACTTAGAATTCTTAAAATGCGAGGTTTGTAATTTTTTTATCATCATTTTGCAGTCCTTTTTCAATTCGAAGTAGAATTAAGAGATAACGAAACAGATTTATTTATTTTTCCATTAAATGTAGTTGTTTAATTTTGTCAGCATGTCGATATTAGTAAACAGAGTTTAAATTAGTTTAGCGTATGCAACTAATCATATTTTAAGTGCCACAATCACAATAATCAATAATCCAGTCATTAGGAAATCGCAATTAGCTAGCTAATGCACGAATTTGTGTATCTATTCAGTTTTTGGAACTACAACTGGTATGCTGTTTGCATTAAGTTATTTGGGTAGGTTTGTAAACTGTTAATTGGAAAGTCTACAAACTGATGATTAAAAGTATGTAATTAATTCTGGAAACAATATTGAAATTCTCAATTACAAATGCAGATACAATTGCCGTTTAATCGTAGCCATCCTGTCTTATGCCAGTGCAGTGCCCGCAGGTATTTGTTTATTAATAGAACAAGAGTTCATATCCAATTTGGGAATTAATTAACGCGAGCGTTCATAAACTTGAAAAAGAAGTTAATTAAAGTTTTGTTGCAATTTTTTGTTAAGGAGTATGTATATATATATGTCATTCGGTTTACAGATTTAAGTATTACCAGTATCTGGGAAGCATTAAAAACGCCAACCTCAAAAAATATACACGCAAGGGTATTTATTATATGTAACGTGGGGTTTGAGTATGAAATTGCGTGTCAGACTATCGTGCTGGCTCGTGTAATTACAAGAAACAACAAGATTTATACGAATAGCCCGATGTAATGTTTTCAAGTTTAGGGTAAGTTCGATGTGAACGAGCTCAAAATGAAAAACGCGTTTCATCAAGTCCTAAAAATGGAAAAAATACGCTCTTGACGGACCACACACACGCTTTTTCTTCTGAATTATTATAGTCGACTGAAAACATCTGTCAAAACTTTCAAAAGAAGAGATGGGGCCTTACTTCTTCCGATAGACCATAAATTTTACTTTTGTCATGCCTTTTTTAATGCCAAATCTTTACGATAGCTATCTACCTCATACGATTACGCATTAATTAGTAATCGTATTATCCTCTATAGAAATATAAAATTAATAAACAATGATAATTCTAAAAATTATTTCAATTCTTTTATTTTATCCGAAGACCGGTATCGTAGAACTTTGGTGTCTCTTAGTAACGTTAATGTACGTCAAAGGTCACTCGATTCGGCGGACGTTTATTTCCATTTGTACCAGTCAGTCGGTGCATATTATGCGCCCGTAAACTGCATAACTTCGAGAACTTGTCGGCGATCTTTTCGTAGTCGCCGGGTCCGAAGTGTCCGGGCGTCCCGAGCTCCTGAGGTTTTTAGTTGTGTTGTGTCGTTCTTTCAAACATTTTGGGGTGTGTTAACCTGTAGCGTGTGCGAATTGCGTGCTCAATACCTACTCCATCTCGAACTGTATGACAGTATTTTCTACAGTTGGTAACATTTCGCGTTCGGTATACTCACTTATTTCGCTAAAACACTTGCACGTCGGAATAAATTAAAATATTATTTAAAAAACACAAATGGTACAGTAGGCAATTGTGTTGAAAATAAAAAGTAATAGAAAGTGATCAAAACTATTTGAAAATGTGCACGTCGCAATTGTGAATATTTCTTTGGGATTACTCGAATTGAACCGCTGTTTTTATGTAAAAAACGTAAGCATATTTATATTTAACTTACTCTAAAACATGTTTTGTAATACTAATTATTAATACAACGTGATATAAGGAAATTTGTACAAATATCTCTAGCCATCTTTCCATACAATTAATAACGTAATATAAAGTCTAATAAATGCAATTTAAATCTTTTAAGCGATTTTACGCTTTGATCAAAAGATTTTGAGAGTTCGGTTAGTTTAGGGTAGTTTTAACATGTGGTATGTTCGGATTAACGTGGTTGAGAGTTCCACACGTTCATTAAATTATGCATTTTCACTCGCGCTACATAAAAAGAAAAAAATGCCTCCAAAGAAATGTGAAATTTCTATATTCGGTAAACAGTTTGCCTTATCTGCATACATCATCTACAACCCTACAGAAGTCACAGTGATTATAGTCAGCCGAAATCATGAGACCTCCTCGCATATTAAGTTCTGATAATATTTAATTTTGTTATCTTAAAATTGTAGTACTTACCAACATTTAAAAAAATCTATTTTAACAGAGTTGCGTTTTAATTTTATTTCTGAAGCAGTTGTGTTAAAGAACGTGACAGGAGCCCTTACAAGATTATTCCCGTGTCTGTCCTTTTGACATTCATGGTTTTCAATATAATTATGTATAAGAAGTTCAGAAATATTTATTTTCAACTGTTATTTTTGTCTCTTTTAATCTTTGAAGAGAAAAGAGAATTGTCTATAGGTGCCTTCTATATATGTGTATCCATTTTAATACAGTAAAACTGTATAAGTTTTGGATATAGCGTTCATTTTCAATACAGTTTATGAACGCTTATTAGTTGTAATTGCCTTTCAGTATCACTTTGATCATTTGGCAGTTTCCTCTTCTCTCTCTCTCTCTCTCTGAAAGACAAAGGACCCTTATTTCATATTTATTAGAAATCGAACGCGAAATTTTAGCAGGCAGGTAAGTTCAAAGCAAAATTTTATTAAAAGACTAGTTGAACCTTTCCGAATTTAGATGATGTTCATCATTGTCTGCGTCGCAAAGCGCGTAGATTTTAATGATGGCTGTCAATTACATGACAAACCTATCTACGTTAAAACCATATAATAGATTCTAGAATAATATGACATTAATATATAGCGATTATGACGTTTGATATATTTTACCTGCTTCATAAAACCAACGTGTATTCGAATAAGTGAGTCTACCTGAAGTTGAGCGCATAAAATATATGTAGTAGGTATGCCATTCTGATTGTAAAACAGAAAAAGGTTGCTGTTAACAACCTACAACAATCTGGCTGTCTCTTTGCCACGCCGTGTCGTACTGAAAAGAAATATTTTTAAAGCAAGCCTTACAATAAAATGTTTGATCCACCGAATGTGTGCTTCTTAGAAGTATATTATCTCCTCACCCTTATTATTATTGTCCTCGTAGTTCAGGTAAAAAGAAACTACTGGCTCGCTTTTACAAGAGGTTACGGTAGATAAATATTCTATTGCTTTATTACTAAAATTAAGTTGGATGTAACTCTTTCAAAACTTGACCATTAGTTTTAATTAGGTATTACAATAAAAAAGCGGTGGAAATAGCTATTTAAAATAATAAGACTGTATAGGATGATACAGTTATTATTCTTCCTCTACTTTGCTCCTCTATTTTTAGAATTAAAGAGACATTCAAAAGAAGTATTTTTCGAAATGTTTTTGTTTTATTTTGCTGACAGCGGAATATTGTTTCGTTACTGACATGAGAGTCAGTATTTGGACTGTAAGGATCATACAAGATAATGTTTCATATTGTGTATAATTTTTCAGTTAACTGTGAACAAAACGCTCGAAAATTTTTTGGTAAAAGATATCCATTTATCCTTTAAAGAATTAAGGTGTAGTATTGGGATCCGTCAAATGGGCATACACCATCTGGTGGCAAAATTTATAACTCGAATGAGGGAAAAATTTACATAGGAACTGTGCACGCAAATTGTAAAATTGTTTATTAAAATAAAACACGTTAAAAAAGTAAAATTTTTTTTGATGATGGAGTCGACGAAGTTTTCTTCTAAAGTTAAATCAAATAAAAAGTTAATATGTTCAGTGAAAAGCTGCAATAGCACTTCAGACATAGATCTTCACTCTTCACCTACATTAACTACTTTCCAATAAAAACTAACCGTTTTATATATGTAAAAAATATATTCGGAAAATTAGAGAAAAAAGTAAACTAATAGAAGCTTGGATGAAAGCAGTAGGTATCAAAGAAGTGAATTCCGGAATAAAAATTTGTTCACGTCATTTTAATGCACATGATTATATTTCAGGAAGTATTTACCATCAGCATTATTTATTCCTGTGTAATTGTTTTAACACAATTCTAATGATACGATATAAGTATTTTGAGGTTAAGAACCTACCTGCTGCAATACAACAAAGTTGCAATAATGTGTTTGCAACGTTCTCTTAAATAGGCTTTGCACGTGCAAGTCATTGATATGATATTGCTTAAATCACCCAGAATTACTTCACCAATTATATAACGTGAATCACTGTTTAAATCCGAAGTTTGTAAAAAGTAGGCAGTAAACTTGACGGAATTTGAATGCTAGCTTCCGGATTTGTTATTTCCGAATTTTATAATGTGATTGGCATTAAAAACATGCTCGCCAACGAAATTTCCTTTCCGAGGCATTATGTCAGCCAAATCACATATTGTGTCAATACTTATCATTTTATCGTAATTTAAAAACTTGGAAATTGCACGGTACACTATAGGAACTACGATAAATTTTCCCTAATCGGTGCCATGTTTTTAGGCTCCTCCCATTTGACGGATCTCAATAATTTCATCCAGTTTTATTATTAAGCGGTTTAAACAAAGTATATTAGGAGTCATTCATAAAATACGTTCGAAAATAAGGAGGAAGGAGGGGTATTGCTTAGCATGACGAGATATGACAGGGGGGGAGATCTAAGGAAATGTGACGTTCGCAGCTCATAAAAAAAAAGAAATTAAATGCTTTATCAATTTATTTGACGAAAATACAATTTTTTCAATCAGTCGGCCTTTATCAAGAGTATTTTACAAGTATGTCCATATTGATAAAGTCCGACTGGTCGACACAATTGTCAAATTTTCGTCTAATAAATAATTGAAACATTTAATTCCTTCTAATTTTTTTACATTACTATGAAAATGTTATTTTAGACATTCGTCGCCAGGCATGTAACGTGGGTGTTTATTTTTAAAAAGTCTACTATTTCTAGTTCTTTTTTAATTTTACTATCTTTAAGGACACATTGGTTTCGTCACTATGAATTAGAGCTAAGTGCTTTTTGATAATAAAAAGTTGATTTTTCCGGTGGTATAATACAGCTAGTATTTTTGTACGCGTGTGCTACCATTACAAGGGCCACCCGGTTCGCTTTTATTATATGCGTGTATATGGTTTGTAAGTTGTATAGAAGCTGTTGTTCTTCAATTAATCCTTAAGTGCCAGATGTTAAAATTATGCAGCGTACTTTGATAACTTACACGGAAAAGACATTTGGATGATGTCAGTAAGTAAACAAAAATTGTTATCGGATGATGAGAGTAAAGTAGAAAAAAATGAATGGTACTAATTAATGTAAATTGTCTAAAGTAAACAATTAATTAATTTAAATAAAAACATCTTATAAAGTTACATATCTCGGGTTGCTTTGAAATTCTGCTGAAATTAAATAAATTCGTTTGTTATTGTAGATGTTATATACCTGCTTAAAAATAAAAAAAAGATGTGTTCTGGTAATTGGTCGTTCATGTTTACCATATAAAAAACATTAAATGTAAGATTTTCTCATAATTAAACTTCTTTAAAACAGATTTACCTAGGCTGCTTTAGCTTGCTTTAGATACTTAACGTTTTTTTGAGGCAAAGAAGAAATTAATTTTAAAAACTTTTTTTACAAAAGTAAACCCCGTTATACGAGGGTGGATTGATAAGTTTCCGGCCTAACCAAGAGATGACGCCACTAGGTCTACCTTGAGGTGACATTCTATAGTACCATCCTTGGATAGCTTGTAGCTATAGTTTCAGCCCGATCTCCTTGCTAGTGTAGGTTTGACAGCACGCTGAACAAGACGCCTCTGTGGTTTTCGTAAAAATGGAAAAGCAGGAAAATCGTGCTGTCATCAAATACTTTTATTTGAAGGGGTTAACGCCGAAGGAAATTAAAAAAGAGATGGACTCAACACTGGGGACATCCTCCCCGTCATATTCAACCGTTAAGCAGTGGGTTTCCGAGTTTAAAAAGGGTCGTGTGAGCACCTCTGATGGGCCTCGCTCAGGACGCCCCGTTGAGGTCACAACTCCAGATATGATCGAAAAAATTCATCAAATAGTGCTGGGAGACCGCAGATTGAAAGTGCGTGAGATAGCTGAGACCTGTAAGATGTCATATGAACGTGTGCAACATATTTTGCACCAACATTTGCATATGGAAAAGCTCTGTGCAAGATGGGTGCCGCGTTTGCTAACAGTCGACCAAAAATTGATTCGAAAAAACATTTCTACCGCAAATTTGTCATTGTATAAGCGTAATCCAAGCGAATTTTTGCGTCGATTCGTAACCGTTGACGAAACGTGGGTCCACCACTACACTCCTGAAACCAAAGAACAGTCTAAACAGTGGATTGGACCAGGGGAACCAACTCCAAAGAAGGCAAAAACAATTTTTTCGGCGAACAAGGTTATGGCTACTGTTTTTTGGGATGCAAGAGGTATTATATACATTGATTACCTTGCAAAGGGTAATACTATCACTGGTCAATACTACGCAGACTTATTGCAACGTTTGAGCCACGAGGTGAAAATTAAACGACCTCATCTGGCGAAGAAAAAAATCTTGTTTCATCACGATAACGCACCAGCGCACACGTCAATCGTTGCGACGGCTAAAATCAACGATCTAAAGTTTGAATTGATGCCGCACCCTCCTTACTCTCCAGACCTAGCCCCGAGTGACTATTTTCTGTTCCCTAATCTCAAAAAATGGCTTGGCGGTAAGAGATTTGCGGACAATGAAGAAGTAATCGAAGCTGTAAATGGTTATTTTGAGGAGCTTGACGAATCAGTCTATAGAGATGGCATTAATAGACTGGAACACCGCTATGAGAAATGTATCAGCCTTGGAGGAGATTATGTTGAGAAATAAAAAAAAAAAATTTTTAAAAACCTTGTTTTTCTTGGTCAGGCCGGAAACTTATCAATCCACCCTCGTACTACTATTCATAAGCTATTTTGATAAAACGCTGTCATTGTGGAAATCTAATTAAATACGTACTTGTACGTAGACATGAATCGGCTAAGCTGACAATCTTGGGATTTTCGTAACTAAAGGAGTACGTTAATCCGACTTATGAAACCACTTTATTAGTAAATGAGAATAAGATAAAATAAAATTAAATTTACTTACTAATTAATTGTTTTTATATTTATTACACATACAGTTGGAATTATTTCTTTAAAAGTAAAAACAGTTGTAATTCACATTTGATCTTCGTCGAATATTGGCGAGCTTCAAATGTTGACAGAAATTTTTTTCCCTTTGCACACATTTTTTCCATCATTAAAAACAATATTTTCTGTAAAGAAAAATTTCAAAAAGCCAGGTTTTTAGCGCACTCTAATGTGTAAGTTTATAAGTATTAATAGATATTATTTATGAAAACGTAAAGTTAATACCTACTTGATACATAATAAAATTGCTTTTCCATGTTGTTGCTTTATTTGCAGTCAACTTTTATCAGTGACGAAACAACATTTCCTTGTAAAGAATGGAAAGTTGTTTCGTAACTGAAAATTCGTTTATTTTTAAAAAGTTTAAACAAGAACTTTTACGTGACGCTCCAACATATTTTTTTTATAGTAACTTAATTAAAATTGTGTACAAGTTCGATATTTCTGGAGTCAAATAACTCACGATGAAAAAGGCGCTAAATATATAAAACAATGAATTCACTTACACATAAAATCGTTTTAAAGTTCTTCAAGATAAATTAAGTTCTTTATTTTCCACTTTGTGTACCGTAATAGTAGCAACTGTACAAGAACAAATAGCAAATCAATTTTATTTTACGACTATGAAGCCTGTTTTTTTTTATGCTGAATAAGTATCTACAAGTTTTCTCAAGTGTCTTTTGTTTGTTTCAGGGTAAATGTGCCATGGCCGTCGTTGGAATGGCCTGGCATGGCCTCCTGCTACTTTTGTACGGCTTCTGTATATCGGGTACAATGCCCAAGGGATTAGGTAAGTGCCGAAATGTGCATAAGTATCCTAGCCAGCAAAGTAAAGAGTGTGTTGACGATAACTTTATGACAAAGAATATTATACTTGCACTTCAACTGTGCTGGTTAGGGATATTTTTGTTGTGTCTTCTTCTTATCCATTCTTTCATGCTACCTATATATATATATATATAAAAGATACTTTCACCATTTTTAATTTTAAATACTTTTGTACACGACCTTCCTGTGAATTATATGTTTTCACTTTACATTTTTAGTTGTCTCGTCGAGTAATTAATTTTAGATTAGAGAGCGCAGTTTTTGTTCTTTGCAGTTGTCTATCTAAATACTACTTTAAACGCAGTATTATTTCACCTGAAGAAGCCGTCGTATTGTGGTCAAATGGTCGTAGTGGTCAGTCAAATTTTTATGATTTTTATAAACAATCTTACGATTCACGTGCGAGTGGACCAAGTTCCATGCATTGAAAGTTCTGACTCGTGTCCGAACCCGAAATTACCTAAAATTTAAAATCGTAAGCATTCAACTTCGCATAACCGAAATCGCTTTGCTTAATGTCATGCGGTGTTTTTATTTAATGTTTAAAACGCAAAAGACCCTTGAAAATTGTTTGTCTTTCTCTGTGTCTGTACGGGCTAATCTTCGAAGCGTTTGACCTGCGTGGATTTCTATGAAACACGAGGAGAAGGTTATCAAGAGTGACCTAGGCTACTGTTCGTTTTATTTTTTTTTACGAATTTATCAACTTATTATTAGGAACGTATTGCTTGTTGTTTATTCAGCCTTGTCTGTAGCTAACTTCTTAGTTGAATGTGGGGAGTTTTAACCCCAACCTCCTTGCGGTTACGCCAAATATTTACAACCCTTGACCCATGAGGAAAAATAAGTACTACGTCCTTGTTCGTCAGCCGATTTGACGGATCCCAATAATTTCAGAAATCGTATAAAAAACGAAAGTGTGTTTTTGATTTCACCCTAAAAAATTCCTCCTCGTACGTACGTACAAATATTTTGGTGTGCTAACTGTTAGGTAATACGTTAAAATAAAACAATTTGTGTTATGTTTAGGTATATTATGTAGTGCTGAATAACGAGTTTTCGTCCATAATATAAATTAATCACTGCAATGAATACCGTTTTGCGTGCTTGGTAAAATTCCTTGTTCCACAATTCGTTTAGGAAATGCCTGCGTGCCATGAAATGTTTTTCGAGTGTAATGTACAAAGGTAATCTTACGTTACGTTGTCGTTTTCGTTTGCACTTACGATATCTCAAACGGTATGTGTCTCAGGCGACAAAAGAATCTTCCACAAAACATTTTTCTGTCACTGCACTGCTCAATTTTGTTGAAGGCACCACTCGAAAATAACACCTGTTAAAAATGGTGCACGTTGAATGTGGAGAACTCAATAACTAAAAGTTTTTTCTATTAAAAATAGTAGGAAAACGGTAATAGGTATAAGCGACTGAATTAATTTTTTAAATACGAAGTTTTTGCAAATTTTCGTCTGACTTTACTACTCTGTTGCAATCAAATCGGAAAGATCTATCTCCTCTGGTAATACAACATTCTACTCACTAGAATATCTGCCCTATTTACTCCTGTTCTTGCTTGTAGCATGGCTCTAACTTAGACCTCATGTTCAGAATGTCCTAGTGTGTATCCCTCTTTTTCCTTATTGGCTTTCATAACGCCCTCAATTGTCTTACTCATTCCTATTTCCTAATTTCCAGTCTTTTTCATCTATACTATGAAACAATTAGCTTAACTTCCAATGCATTAAAAATCTTAACTAGAATCGTACACAGAATGATGGCAAAAAGGGCGGAAGAACTATTTTTAAGCTTTTAACAATAAATATATTTAAAAATGAAGGGATGGAATACAAAGATAGAAGAGTGATATATAATAAAACAATCAGAGCTGATCAGAGGCAAAAAAAAACTGTTATTACTGCAAAACCAGCACCTACGTTTCGCTTCTAATTTGACGCTTTTTTAAGGTAGGTTTTTAAAGTCGTAACAATAGACTTAGTACATTTAAGGATATGCACCAATAACAATAATTAAAACGCGATTAACAAAACCACCACACAATTAAAATTTCCTTATTGTTTTATTTTATTTTTTGTTGGTAATATTTATCACATGTGTATACGACAAACAGATGGAATTGAAAACCTTTTACTTTTGAAGTAGAGAATTTTCCATGTCTGTGAGGTATGGGTTAATTCTAGTTTGTTTTATGCTAAAATTACGAGTGTGATTAATATCACAAACATATAATCTACTTAAATCTATTTAATTAAATTTCATTTTTTATGTTCCCTTTTTAAACGAATTAACAAACAATTTATTCATATGATTAAATTCGGTAATATGAGTGAGCTTAATTTTATACATACATACATACATCCGTGAACAAAACGATATACAAAAATTTTATATATAAAATGGCAGAAAAACTGGGTCATTTACGTTCGTACGTAATATTATTATAGCGTAAGGTATCATTACCACTCTCAGGCTTTCATAGGTAGAATGATGCCACTTACCACTATTTCCTTTTGATACGCTTTCAAATCGATTTTGTAGATTGTGAGGTTGCTAAAGGGCTAGAAGCAAATACATATTTCTACTATTGTTAAGTGTTTATCATATTCTATTTTCATATCACACGAGCAAAACTGTGTAATTTGATGCACGTGTGGGGGATGTTTTTTTTTTTTAAACTACATCTACCTGAAAATATCACTTGCTTGTCTAAAAAGTGCGCCAAAGTAATTGAATTCTCAGAATAATTTGAACAAAGCGTAACACCCCTTAAAAGCTTTAGACATATATTTGTGAAAAGTTTTTCAAATCTTAATTTTTAAATATGAAGATTGGAAAAACTTTGGCGGTTGTTGTAGAAGTTTAGTTTTCAGTTTACTTCAGTCCCTGAAGAAGGTAACTTCGGACAACTACAGTGTCGTGTTTTGGCGTTGGGGTTTTGAGCTTTTCTGTTTAATCTTAATTTTGTGAAAAATAAATATCGAGTATCTCTAAATGACAATGAGTAACATTTGTTCTTACTGTCAACATCTGAAACAAAAGCGATGCCAAAAAGTTGGACAGGCTTGGTATAGGAGAACGCTATGTTTCAAGTGTGTCATTAGTCTTTTGGACGGGCTGTACTAGTAGGAAAATAGTGTTACTAATACGGGACTATTCTGCACCTTACCCTCGTTCGTATTCGAAATTGCTAGAGAATTCGGAATGCATTGGTCTATGTATCTAGGTAATTACAATACCAATTCTAGCAATTTAATAATGTCGAATGCAATTCCAGTTATTCAAAGCACGTTTTCTTCCGCCCAACCAATGGAGTAATAAAGATACGTTATTGACTGCGAATTGCTGAATCTATCAGAGGTAATGCTGCCTGCGTAGACGTTGCACATTTCTATATCAAAAATTGCTCTTTATAGGATTCGGCTAACTCCGATTTCTATAACTTTACAAGAAATTTCAACGTTAAATATCTATCTTGTCTCATCATCATAATAAAGTCGTCAGTCCTAAGCAGGGTTGGCATGAATGAATCATTTTGATTTAAATCAAATGATTTCTTAAATAAAAATCAATGATTTAATCAAAAATGTTTAATTTCACTTTCTTTCACAGAAATCAACATAAAAAAACAGATTTAGAAATTATAATTAAGTTACAAACTAGGATCATTTAAATCTGAGAAATCAATATCATTATTATGATATTTGAATAAAAAAACTAGTTTTCCAGCTTTTTCAATTCCCAGTCGGTTTCTTAATTTGCTCTGAACAATTCCAAAGGTGAAAAACACTCTTTCTACAGCAGCTGAAGAAGCTATCGCGCCAAACAATTGCTTCGCTACTGGAAAAATTTTTCACTGTTCCTCTTCACTAAATATATTTTTCTGTGACACCCACCACTCTAGTGGTGTCACATTTTTTACTATTTCTTCTGCGAACATCACACTTTAGAATGGTTTTGATTTTGACTTAAGCTTTACTATCAATGGTAGCAAAACTGAACCATCATAGTGATTTCGCGCTTCCTCCAACGCACTTTCTTCTTCATTTGTCAGTGTGAATTCTGTTTGGGTTGGGTCTAATAAAAATGCCAAAAAGTGACTGGGGGTCATTGCTTGCTTATATCTCTTTCGAAAATTCGACATTTGGCTACTATTTAAATCAGTTTCTTTAAATTTAGCTCCAAGCTGTTACAGCAGCAGACAAATTTGCATTATTTCTTTGTAAAGTATCCAATGTAACAGATATTGGCTTCAAAATTATTAGATAATCTTCCACTGACCTTTTTACGACCATATTTTCAACTTTTGCTCTAATAAAATATAACGTCCCTGTTCTCTTCACATATTTTTAGTAGCTTTTGCCACTCAGACACAAAGACTTCGAAACAATCAGTTACAGTATTCCAACGAATATCTGATGATAGCACTAATGCTTTCCCTCCTTCCGCTTTGTATTGTATTTTATTATTTGCACAACATGCTCCTTTATACTGCTAATTTCTAAATTAAACGAAAAAATCAAAAAAATTGTGATTAGAATTTTTTCAAAAAATCGCACTTTATTCGATTTTTTAAATCCTGGTTCTAAGACTGGTTGCACACGCACCTCCACCCCTTCCTATCCTGAGCTAATCTTCGCGTTTCCCTAAAACTAGAACATCCCACATCCTTAACTACTTATCTGCGAACAGTAAACTAATCTAGGTCTACTTTTACTTCTTAACTACTGTTTCTGTCTCTAATATGTCTCTGACCAGATCTTCATGCTTGAGAAGGTGTCCTACCAAACTATCTCGCCTATTTTTTATTAACTTCCATAGAGTCCTATGTTCTCCTATTCTTTCTAATATCTCTTCAATTCTAACCTTCTCTATTCACGCTATTTTTATCATTTGCCTGTAATAACACAATTCGAACGCTTTTAACCTATTCCTTTCCGCTGCGCT